AAAAAAAAAAAAAAAAACACATCATAGTAAAACCAATACCTTCTTAGCTTCGCATCGAAACTATAATATGTATTTAACATCGTTAAAACTGTTAAAAAAAAAATAATGAAAAATATTTTCTGCATTATTAATTATTTGATTTATCATAACTATCTGTAAAATTATTTTAATAAAATGATTCTTGCTACTAAATTGTAAATAATATTAAGATATAAAAACTGTACTTATATCAAACTGTATATTTCATATGTGAAAAACTTCTCTATAACTTATACAAATTAAATATTTTGTAGTCTATATCATCTTAGTAATAAAAGTCATATCCGCTAATAAAAAAATAGATCTAATACTTTTTAAAAATAAGTTATACACATTTTACATTTCATTTCATTGAATTATTTTATGGATAGTATTACAAATTTACCCTGATTCTCATCATGTTATAAATCACTTTCTGTATATTTTCAGTCTTCAAGAAAAATCGTTGAAACATAATATAATAATTTGAATAGAAAATTATGTATACAAAAATTATTAAAAGTTTTAAAATTTAACACTGTATATATGATATGTTATGTTATTATTTTTATTGGATAATATTACTTTGTGTGATTACTTCATAAAATTATCAAAATTGCAATTAATATAAATTGTATTAATAAAGATATAATTTAATACGTACTGTATTATTGAAGTACGAAAACAGAAACATTGTGGATAAAGTACGCAACAGATATTTTAGTTGTAGCAATTTTCAGTTAAAATTATTAAATTATATTTAATAGTAATGTAATCTATTGATAACATAACTAATCTTTAATTGAGTTATTATAACATAAATCAACAAAAACTAATTTTATCCACATTATTTATTTTATCTTAATGACCTACGCTCAATTTTGTTGTTTTGTACATTTCTATCCAGTAATTTCCCCGATTTAAATTACACAAAGTTGAATATTTATTTTTGTCAAGCGGTTAGTACACTTTATGACTTCCAAGTAAACTAACATGACAATTAGTGAGTATAATATACAACACCAAATTTTTTTTCTTTTTACAATGAGAAATTGTTATAGTAATAACATTAAAATTTAAAAACTTTTTCATCTGTTTTTTATGTCTATTCCTTTTTATTATCATAATTATTATTTATAAATTATTTTCATTGTAAGACGACTACGATAATTTTTGAACAGAAAAATTTATATTAATGATATTTTGTTTAATTAGTAAAATATAAAACTAGGTAAAGGTACTTTTTTATCATGTTTTCCATTGTCCTATTTAATAATAAGTTTATCATACAGCTATTTCATTTGGCAATTATTTTCTTCAAAATAAGTATTAATTACAAAGAATGTATATCTATATAGGCTTTTTTATTTTATTAATATACTTTTAAAATACACACTAAAAAGCATTCAAATAAATCCTGATAATTGTTTAATATTGAGAAATATTCGAATATTATGACTAACTAACCTTATTTGTTGTTAATTTAGGCACGCCGAAGTAATCTTTTAGTATTAAAAAACCATTAATGGTTCACTAAAAAGTGATTTTAACTTTTTGTTAAAACAATTTTATTATATTTAAAAATGTATATCATAAAAAAAAATATATAACTTAAATATAGGTAAAATAATAAATTTCAAATCAAAATATGTTTATTTTATTACTTCAATAGCTGTTTTTAATAGAATAATGCAGGTTTTGTTAGAAAATACTAATTAAAAATAGTTTAAGATTTAATCAGTTTTGTTATTTATATATATATGTAACGCAGCATTACCTTAAATGATAGCTCTAGTATTTTGTATAAAAACAAGTTAATTAACAATATATATTTTTGTGTAGTGTTTGTTCTCGACGATGAACCATTGTTTTTTTTAAATTCTAGGTAAATGTAAAATTACTTGTTAAAACCTATAGTATAGCAATAATTTTACAAAATCAATAAAATATGGCGCTCACAGTAGCTACTTTAAACACATTAAGAGTAGCAAATCATGATTTCTCTATGGCTCTATACTCCGTAAGTAGATGTATTACTTATTAAATTTGAGATAAATTAAACAAATAACTTAACTTTTAAAATGTAATAGGAAGAATCAAAACATTTTTTAAAATTTTCTTCCTATCAAAATTAAACCACCTAAAGTAGTTTGAACTTAATAACCAATATGTACATATGTAAAATTAAAAACAAAAAGTTATCTTGTTATATCAAATCAATATAAAATATAATTTTCGTTTTTCAGAAATTGAACAAAGACAATGAAAATCTATTCTACTCGCCCATAAGCATACACATTGTTTTGTTGATGGCAGGAATAGGAGCTGCTTCTAACACTTATAATGAAATTTTCGATACTATTCGTATGCCAAAGAACGATGACACTTTAGAACCTTATGAAAAGTTGTTAAGCACTCTTAATGTAAGTACATTGTAATATGTAGAATTAGCATAGTTTAATTCTCACATTATTGTATTATAATTTAAATGTTTTGATATATATATATACCTCATTTCTTTTATAATAACACATATCAGCGTTTTTTTTAATGCCGTGTAATAATTTTCTATTATTA